ACAGAGAGAGAGAGAGAGAGAGGAGGGGGTCGAGGGGGGTCGTTGGACTCCGATGGATATCCGGTACCCATATATACCCATCGGTGGCGGAAAGGGACACGGCAAGGACGGTGGTGCTTGTGAACATGGGGAAAGAGTAAGGGAAAGAGAAGTCACCGACCGTATAGATAGTAACTAGGGATCCCCATAGCTCTTGGCGTGGTGCACATAAAGAACAGAAACGTCGGGACGTGTTCAAGACGAACTGCGCTTACGCGGATGCGGATTGCGCTGCGGAGGGCGAAGGGGGAGATCGCGCGGGAAGGCCGCAGCGAGAAGACGCGCGAGGGTATCGGTGAAAGGAAGAAGCCAGACTCTCCCGAGCGGAGAGGAAAGGGGTCCTCTCTCTGTGACCAGCGCGGGTTCATCGGCGGGCCAATCGTCGGGGAATTACCGATTTCGATATCGTCAACGATCCCTCGATCCCTCGCCAGTGGTTCTCAGTGGGATAATTTTGTACGGTGAGAAGGAAAGAGTCGCCTGTTGTTTTAACGAGCGAGTTGCTTTTCCATCAGTTTTCGCCAATGCTGGCTATTGGTTAAAGGTGATGAAAATCACCTTTGGCTAAAATAATCGGCAAATCGATCATATCAGAATTAATCAATCGTCATGTGTGCGCGTAATCGCGAATAATTTAATCCACTAATGAAATCAATTATTAATCATCATGTATGATCATTCACATCAAAGTTTCATTAATAATTAACTCTCTACTGCCCAAATTAATTTCTCATGTTTAAAATATTTTTCATGTATATATGCTGTTTAAAACTAATGCACTCAACACATATAAGATTAAATTTTACTTTTTTAATTTTTTGTTTTCTCAAAATAGGTTTGTGAATCTATAGTCACTGTCGCTGCCAACATATTAAATAAAGGCAGCTATATTATGACTTTTACGTCACATCGGTCAAGACAGGAACAATATTTATATTGGAAATAAATAATGATGAAACTGGATTGTGATTTAAGAGTCGCAGTGGACAGTAGAAGATTAACACTTCAAGAGACATGCTCGAAAAAGACTCGTAGTATCAAAAATTCCTTTTGACTTGCTGAAACTATTTTATTGTTTTTCGTCTCGACTGTACAAATATAACGTCTGTCTGCATGTTCTTTATACATTTCTAAACCCTTTGACCGATCTGGAGCAAATGTTGCATAGTTATTCTCTAGAACATTGCGGGAAATATAGACTACCATGAAATCTGAATAATTCGAGGCGTTTTTAGCTAGTACAGATGAAAATTTGATATATCATCCGTTTTACTTTCCAAAATTCCTCAAGAAATTCCTCAACAATGAGATGAGAAAAGCAATCTATAGCTGTGATTATTTAAGGAAGAAACTGCAGTCATTTTGAAGAAGTAAACTTCATTATTTGGTGAGATTATTTCAGTCGACGAAAATTCTCGTCGATTAACGCGTAATGCTCTCGCGCAAACCGTTCGTCGCGATCCAGTGCGCGGAATCGAAACCACTTTCCACGTGTGTTGGTCTGTACCGATACGCGCGCTTTTCCCCGGGAATATCGCGTCAGCACACGGCAGGTCTCCCTCCCACGTTCCACGGTAGTCCTCATCGACGCGATGTGTATCGACGGTAGCGTTTAAATACCGTCGGGAGAGGTGAGGGGCTCGTTTCTTCGAGGCGAGGGTTAGTTTAAGGGCCGTTCGAGAATCGGTAGCCTCTCCGGCGATGTTTTATTTTATCCTCTCCGCTCCATAAGATCGCATTCTTTACGACCCATTAGACGAATTCATTACCGGCCCCGGGCAATAGGTAGGTGAGGTCCGTAAGCCCTCTTCCCTCCCTCCCTTTCCCTTTCCCCCTCTTCATCAGTTATCCTCTCCTCGCCCACCTGTCCCCACGGACTGTCGCCCCTCCTCACGTTCTCTTCTGTCTTACGCACCTCTACTCCGTTTTTCGTCTCTCTTCTCCCGTTTCTTGCGCGGCACTTCTTCATCGTTTTCCTTCTCGAATCGGTGACTTGTTCCTTCCTACCAGCCCCGCAGATTCCAAACTGAAGAGCGAGAGGGAAAGAGAGGGAGAGAGAGGTCGCTTCGTAATTATTATTCGAATGGTCGATCGAGCCCGAGCGCGCCGATCAGGCGTATATGTACGTTCTATGTTTACGATAACGTCGCCCAATTGATGCGCCGGCTGATGCACCCGGCGATTTAGATAGGGAAATCAGAGGCGATGCACCGATTCGAATTGAATGCACTGGCGATTACCAGGAGCGTGCACGCTCGATCGACGGTTTTTGTTACAGTATACATCGCGGGCTATCTTCGCGCGCAATTGCGCGCGCGCGCGCGCGTACGCACGCCCGACGATAACCGTCGTTCTTTCCGGCGTTGCGCATTATCGGCTCACACGAACGTTTTACGTGGCCGCGAAATTGCCGTCTTCTTTCAGACCGAGACGTCCGATCCGCGCGTCGGTCATTACACGCTTGAGCAATTACACGCCGTTGACCGCGGCGCGGCGTTAACGGGCGACTTACGCCGATCGAGCGCGCTCTCTCGCGGCCGCTTTAATAGCCCGACTCCTCGTGGAATCGAGGGTTGGCCTTATCGAGGATTTATTGGTCGCTCGCTAAGATAGAGCAAGATTTAAATTCTTTATCGTTACCGTTACCCATCCGTCTTGGCCCCGCTCCGCTCCGCTCTCGTTCTCTCGGATTTCGCTGGTCTCATCGCGACTCCCTCTCTTGCCAGCCCTACACAAATCCTCCTTTACGCTTTTCCTCGCAAGCCGACCTACGGCCTCCGCTCTTGAGTCCTCCGTTCCGTCTCCTCCTGCCCCTTTCTCGCTCCCTCCCGCGGCTTTACCTACGAATTTCGACAAACAGCGGATCGTAAATTCTTCCTTCAATGTGATTTCATCAGTATCGATGAATCACCGACCCGCGTCTACCTAGTGTGTCACATTTCGCGCGCGTTAATCAAGGGGATGGGAGCGCGAGGCGGGGCAAGCGGCTTCATTACGTTTTTCGAACGAACGGTAAAATCGACCGTTTAATTTTATGATAGTTACACCCGCAGCGTTTTGCATTTTACGCGCGCTCCGATGACGTAAACACGAATCGTACGCGCGCGGACCACGCGATCGCGCGTTCGCAATTTCCGTATTTTTCTGCAAAAAAAAAGCGAGGGAGAGGGGGGAGTCGAAATTACATCGCGGTGTCTCAAATTTCCCCCATCCCATCTCATATTCTACCTTCTCCTCTGCATTATGTTTTAACATTATATATCGTATTTCGTTATATTAAATTATATAATTTAAATTTATCTCGCGCACGAGGAAATCGAAACCAGGTCAGCGCGCCGTGTGGCGCGCATTCGGAAAATGTTCCGCGGATACGTACGTTTCGCGTGGCCGTTAGAAAAATCGCTCTATCCCGAAACTAATCGTTCGTAATTCGAGCCGATGTTCCAGAATGGTTCGCGCGGGAGGGGGGCAAGGAGGAGGGTCCGTTCCGGCATCACTGCCGGCGAGAGCCACCCTTGCGGAATAAGCGTGGGGAGGGACGGAGACGCGCGGGGCGCGCGAGGGAGCCGCTCGGCGCTGTATCAATTCATTAGCGCATTACAGTTAAAATAAAAGTATCCGCGTATCTACGGCATGCGGCGTATCTCTTATGAAGAGGACGAGTAGTGGCCGACCGGTTTCTGCGGCTCTCTCTCTCTCTCTCTCTCTCTTCCCCCTATTTACCTCCCGCCTGCCCCGCTCCTCCCTTCGCCCGCCGTCTCCGCGCGCGATGTTCCCCTCGGTGTTGTCGCCGTTGTCCCTTCGGCTCCTTCAGCGGACCGACCTTCACCGTGATTTGCTGGCCGACGACCACCATCTAGCGACTCCAAGTCGTCATTATGCACGGCAAATGGTGAAAGAAGAAGTAAAAGGAGGAGAGAAAAGAACGACGAGAGGACGACGCGCGAATCCACCTAGCGTGGGTGAGACGGGGTGAGAAGGAGCGAACTTGGTGGAGGAGGAAGAGGAGGAGCAGGAGGAGCGGAGAGGCGGGCGGGACGATCGGGGAATTCGTTGGATTCAACGGAGGGTCCGAAGGCGAGCGGCGGCCTTGAGGGAGATGATATCTCGCGGAACGTCTCCCGGCTGATAAGCGAAATCGTGCGCTCGTAATGTGGCGTACAGAGTCGCCGGTTTATCTAGTTTATCCGCCGGCCGTGTCTATTCTTTGCGGCTAACATACGCGGGGGTGAGTTTGATACCGATGCGGTACATTCGATGCGGTATTGTATGGCACCGAATTAGCGAGCGTACACGCGCGTACTACTCTGGACTCCCCGCTATATTAAGGATTCTGTGGATTTCTCTCTCTCTCTCTCTCCCTCTCTTTCTCTTTCTCTGCGACGAGTTCGCGGGCGTAAATTTCGAGTGCCATCTCCGCGAAGAGGCAGCGAGATAAGCCGCGCGCACGGTGCGGGGCAGACGAATACCGGTATTTCTAATTAATGCAGGCATCCGTCGAAAGAAAGCGAAAAGTGGTTTCGCGCTTAACGATCGCGCGTCGATAGCGTAGAGTTTGTGCTATTAGTCGGGGACACTCTTAACGAGCGCGAGCGCGTCGCTGCTCGCCCGTTCAGAGACGCGTTCGGTGACAAATTGTTCCGAGTCGGCGCACTTACGCGGTGAGTACGCGCGCCCGACGCTCTTGCTCGTCGACCGTGGACTCGGATTATTAATAAGAATTAACCGAGACTCGCGAGATGGTGACTCTGCTGTCTCCTCTCCTGAAATATGCAAAATGCGATGTCGTTCGCCGTGAGCACGTCTCGCGTCGGTTACCTTACAGGCTAAGTCAGCAGGCGTTGGATAGAGGATAGAGGGCGGAGGGCAGGGGAACGAGATTACACCAGTGCTCGAATCTCGTTTTCGGATAAGGGATGAAAAGGGAGCAGGCGCGAATGAACACACAAGAGCACATGTCCTTAGTTTATAACATATATATTTATTTGAGCTTTAATTGCATTTTAAAATACAACCGAAATAATTAAATAATGACAAATCTGGTAAAATGGTTTGAAGATTCGCGTATACATGATGCATATCTTTGTGGTTGCGTGTTTGTAAGTAGGTAGGTACGTTTCGAGCGTATCTCATTCGCACGGCTGGCTGTTCCTTTCCTCGAGTGTCACCGCGACAATGTGTCGTATGTGTGTGCGTGCGTGTATGTGTGTATGCTCTTTATGGCGTGTACATGTGTCCGCGCGCGCGTGCGCGTGTGTGTCCTGTGTGTGTCGTATTCGTCGCAGCCACGTAATCGTCTCGCGTTACGTTCGTCACACTCTTCCCCAGCAGTCGTATATAATTACAATAATAATATTAATATTATTATTATATGTCGATAAATACTTTTAAAGTTCGCGATGGAAGAATTAGAGTTTACAGAAATACGTATACAAGTATGTTCCGTTCTTTTCCGGCCTTCCTTGTTAAGGACCGTACGTAGCTGCTCAATCTTTCCCACCTGTGTCTCGACTGTCCCGATCTCTCGCGAGTATTCTTTCTTGCTCATTCTCTCTCTTTCGCTCTGTCTCTCTCATACTCTTTCTCAAAACTGTCACCCCATTTTTCTGTCTCTCGACTCTCTCGCGCATTTTCTCCTGCTCTTTCACTCCTGTCGTCGTAACATTCGTACTCACATCCAGTCACGCCCGATGCTTCGCATTTATCACCGCATTCTCCGCCACGCGCATCATCATAATACAATAATTGTAATTATAATCAATATACACAGTATTCGCGATAATCCGAGTGATAATAATGACAATATTTTACACGTAAAATGACGCGTTGGCTCGCTCCTGGCGCAATAAATATTATTTGAACAAAGAAAATTTACAATGGTCTACACGTACGTTACGTCGAGAAAATCTGCGTTCCTTCGACGACGCACAATTCTTTCGCTCGTTCACTCACTCACTCGTTCTCTCTCTATCACTCGTTCTCTCTCTCTCTCTCTCTCTCTCTCTCTCTCCCTTTCTCTCTCTCTCGCGCTCTCACTCGTTCTCGTTCTTTCGCTCTCGCACATACACACACACTCTCTCTCTCTCTCTCAGACTCCAATCTCTCATACACGCGTTTGACTCGCGCATACTTATTCAATTAATCGCGAGCCTCGCTATTGCACCGCATCTCCGCATCCTTCGGCTCTTGTCGCTTCTACACTAGCTCGTGTATCTCCATACCCTCAATTCGCAGCAGTCGTATCGCTCTCCGAGGCGGCTCTCGTCCGTCTCCGCGAGCAAACTCACCAATTTTTCGTAGTAATAAGTATCAACAAAGAGATTCCTATACAGGGTCGAACCCTAGCCTATCCTATGCGCTAATAAACTACGACCTTACGATCTAAAGGTATACATGGTGACGATCTTACGACAAGTGATAGGCAAGCTTTCTCCTCACGTCTCGCTTCCACTCTCTCTAGCTCTCTCTCTCTCTCTCTCTCACTCTCTCTTCATCGTACTCTCTTTTTTTTTTCTCTTCTCCAACTTCCTCTCCCAATCTCTCTTTCTCTCATTTTCTCTTTCTCTCCTCCCCCTCTTTCTCCTTCTCTCTGATCTAACCGATTTTTGCAGTTTCCTTACTCCATCTCACGCGATCTCCCTCATCTCACGTCGTAAACGTCCTTAAGTATTTATAAAATCACAAACTTGGCCGCGTGCCGAGCCCCGTGACTCAGCAGTGCCGCGAGATATGGTGGCATCACAATTTAATTAACGCTCGTTCAACACCCACATTATCGTCACACCCTCTCACGTTTCTTGGGCATAAAAGAAAGTCGGATTCAATGGGACAATTTGTTCATTCGTATATGCCGACAGAAGAAAAGTGACACGTGGATAAAGTGATAAAAAAAGGAACGAAAGGGAAGAACAACGGTAGGCGGAAAAATCCGCTAACGATACGAAAGGTCGATTGTACGAAGTTGCGCGCGAATTCCTGCCTTAGACTCTTATTCCCATAGCGATTGCGACCGAGGAAGAATTCTCCGAGAAAGCGGGAAACCCTCTCGCGAGGTTTCCCACACATTGCACGCGATCTGTAGCGGATAGAAGAAGAAAAAAGAAGACAAACGGGAAACATTCGAAACGATTACGCGCGCGCATGGTCTACTCTAAAGTACAATCCTCTTGTAACAACTAAAAACGGAGTAAGTGGTTAAAAAAAAAAAAAGAAGAGAGGGGATCGATATAAAACAAAAAGAAAAGAAACAACAAGAGAGGTGTATACAAAACAATATTGTGTAGTTCGCCTCTCTCCGAAATGTAGAGATTTTGCGTTTTCGACCGGTCGAACGCGCACGCTAATCGCGTCGCCGACCCAGGAATGATAAGACGCGTCCTCGATGTGACAGACCAAAATGATCACCGAAAATGGAAAAGGAGCCGCGTGTTGCATCGCGCGCGTTTGCAATTACTCCGCGAATGAACCAAATCCTTTACTATAATCATATAGTCGCAACAGCGAAGTCTTTTTGACGAAGGTATCCACATTTAGGCTGAAAGAGTGCGGTGGCGAGGCTTGACGCTTAGTAGCGGTGAGTTACGGCTGCCAACATATGATTAGCATATATACTTCGTATTCTTCATCAAAGCGAGTGAACACAGAGACGAGACACGCGAAGCCTGACAGATCGATCTCCCTCGGTAGACATCGATTTCGGAAGAGGTTTTGGGCAAAGTGTCGGAGGTCACACTTATCGGCTGTAATGGTTTTGTTATTCAGCGGAACCGTCCCGTCAAGTATAGGCTTGCGTGACAAGTGGCTTCGAATTTTGCGGCTAAAATGAAGCGGCGATTATTGTATTGTTATGTATGATATAATTTCATGGAGTATAATTCTGACTTATGATCTTTTGTGTACCTTCACGCGCACACTGCGTTTCGTGACAAATTACAACAACACAAAAATACAATATCGCGCCTCATTCGCCTCAAGTTACTTATCGCGCAAGCCGATATTTCCGCAACTTGCGAAACGTCCTTCAGCGTCGAGTTTACGCGTCGAACTTCGCGTGCCTCTTTCCGCATAGGTTCCAAGGGATGTTTGCAGTGCGCACCCACTATTGTACGACTGCGTAAGAAAATTGACGATAAATACTACGAACGACAAGATACGATCAATCTCGTTCAGCACGAGCAGCAATAATGCGCGAATAGAACGCGATCTCTCCCGAATGTGTTCGTTAAAGGATAATCGGAAAAAGTATCAGTTATACGTTTGCAGACCTCAACGAACTTCCCCCCCCTTCTCTGGTTCGGCATCGGAGAGCATATCCCGTATTACCTATTCGTCGGATCTTCGTCCCGGCACCGGTACAGCCACGACACAGCCTCTTTAAGCATAAATCCGAAGACGTCGGATGCGCGACGACGTCGTCCGGCGCGGCGGTGTTCGCGGGGAAGGGGTCAAAATTTCCAACCACATCGCTAGTTACAGTCGTTACAGTATAGATACACTTATGTACAAGTGGCACCGCTACTTACGGGGCTCGGACTATACGTACTTGCTGGACAATTGCTTCGCCAGCTCCGTATACTTGAGAAATTTGGAGTGCGGGCTCTCTTCGAGGGGAGAGGCCGCTGACTGCGACGGGCTGCCGTTCGCCTGCGACAATGGCGGCGATTTGTTGCGCTGCGACGTTGGCGGCGACGAGGAATTGCGACTTGGGCCGCCGGAAGTGCCCTGGGAGACCGCCGCGGCGGCAGCGGCTGCGGCCGCTGCCGCCGATCTGCCGATGGTCAAGGGGTCGGGGATCACACCGTCCTTGACGAAGTGCATCTTGGACAAGTGATGCCTGTACGCGCCTTTTGAGATGAAGGGCGTGTCGCAAAAGGCGCACTTCATGATGGAGTCCGCTGTGACGACGGCGTCGTTGCAGGCCCAGCTGAAGGCCAAGATAGCACCCGGCGTGGGCCCGGGACCAGGACCAGTCACTCCCACTGTGTCACGGCCGCTACTTGGCCCGATGGTGGTCGCGGAAGCACCTGAGGATCTTGAAGCGCCACTCGCGCTGGCCCCTCGTGTTTCTGTCTTGTCGCACAGTTTCTGCAACGCCGCGAGAGGATGGCTGCTGGTCTTGCGTCCCTGCGAGTCAACATTGCTCCCACTACCTCCGCCACCGCCACCCGACAGACTGTCGAACATGGAAGAGAGCGCGCCGAGGCTGCTGGACGCCTTGGTGTCGGGCGTACCCCGTGGCGTGACCGATCGGTCGCTGCTGGTAGGACTGCTCGTGCTGTTCCTGCAGGGGCTACGCGCCACCTGCTCCACTTGGCTGGTCGGCCGCGGTGTGGGTGGATTCATACGCGGCGAGAGAACCTCTCGCCCGTCCTCGGTTGTTTCGTGGAGGCTGCTGCTCCGTCGGTGATTGTAGGAACTCTGATCCTCTTCGTCCCTGCAGTCATCTACTATCTCCTTCTTCACGAACACCTCTCTCGTGGACTGCTGCTGTTGCTCCTCCTCATTCCCGCCTCTCTCCTCAGTCTCTTCGTCCCGCGGTTCTTTCTTCACTACTACAGTGGACGACTCCTCGTCCCCGGACTCCTCCGTGGTTTGATGATGGCGACTAGGTAATGGGGCGGTCTGCTTCTCGGGCGTGACGCGATGATGATGTGACAGGGAACTCGAGTGTCTGTCGTGGCTCGCGGCGGACAGATCCAGGCGTCTCTCCGGTGTCATAGTGTCCGTCCTGCCGCTTCCCCGTTCCGATATTGAACTGGACTCGCTGCCGCTCCGTTCCCTCCTCGCCGCGGCGTTCGCATTGTAATGCTGCTGTTGATGCTGCTGTTGCTGGTAAGACCGGAGTAGATTCATCGTCTGCGGATCTACCAAAGGTTTCGTGTAGTCTACGCTCTCGTCGATGCCTAAACGCTTGAGGATGCTGGTGCCCATAGGTGCGCCGGGTTGAGCGTGGTGCAGACCAGGCGTGCCGTGTCTCACGCGAGAGTCGAAACTCTTCTCGATAAGCTTCTCGATGGCATTCAGAACGGAAGGCGAGGTGCCGATCGGCGCTGTGGTCTCGTTGGTGTTCGGTGTGGGGGTATCTTTGCCCGGTGTGGTCGCGTCGCTCGCCGAGGACGGAGATCGGTGGTGCCTCGAGGATATCGAGGATGTCTCCTCGTTGACGCTCTTGCGGCCGCTTTCACTTGGCGGTAACGTCGCCGGCAAGTGGTTGGACATGAGCGCGTTCTTCAGGAAGTTCCGCTGATTGATACCCACCGTGCCTGCGCCAATGCACTGACGTATATGCTCGACAAAGATGGGAGTCTCGATCTTCTCACCGCATTTCTCGCAGGTAATCCTGCCGGCGTGCTTACCGAGGCTATGAGTCAGACTGGTGGCGGCGTCGCCGTTCTTGAACTCGTTCTGGGCACGCTCCAGCTCCAGCAGCTTCCTCACGGGCAGTGACTTTTTTCGCTTCTCGCGCGTCTGTCGCCGGCGTCCGCCGCTCTCGGTGATGGAGCGCATTATGTGTTCTTTGTAATGCGAGTTCTTGACCATGTGGTTGCTCAGCTCCTTGAGAGAGCTGAACGCCTGGTCGCAAACCTTACACGTCAACACTGCGCTCACGTGACTGCTGGTGGCGCCACCGGGGCCACCGGGACCGTTTCCTCCATGAGGACCGGAACCGCCGCCAGGCTGCACTCCCACGTTGCTTCCTCCACCAGCGACACCTCCGGCGCCACCTCCCGCTGAGCCGGTGGTGTTGCCGCCACCTTTGCCCTCGTCGGACGATTTCCACGATATTATCTGCTCCTGGGAGATGATGTTCGTGTAGTGCTGCGTCTGCTGCATATGCGAGGTCATCTCGGCGAGCGAACGGAAGCTCTGTCCGCACCACATGCACTTGAGTATCTGCCGCGTTTGTTCGGCACCCTTACCCAGCCAGACGTCTTGGCCTCGCACGAGCTTGCGCGGCAACGGCATCGTTTCCTTGATCAAGAGATTCAAGTCAGATGGGCTTTGCTTGCTGCTGGGTGTGGCGGAGCTGTTGTTGCCGGCGTTGCTGGCGGAGGTCGGCGGTTGATGCGGTTGCTGAGGCGGCGGTATGCTCGGCATGGTCGTCTGCTGCGAGTGAAGCCCCGGTGCGGGCGGCGGTACCGGCATATTGACGCCGCAGTGTTTCGCTTCTTTCATGTGCGCCGTCATGGCGGCTAGAGTCGGGAAACTCTGCTTGCACCAGACACACTTGAGAACGTCCTTGGCTTGGTCGGCTCCCTTGTTCAGCCAGTGAGACTGCCAAGCGCTGTGACGGCTGCTGGACGTCGTCGCCGGCGTGCTGGTGCCCGTTGCGGAGCTACTCCCTCCGGAGGACGACCTGAACAGATCCTCGCCACCCAGTTTGCTGAGTTCGCTCATCTTCTCGAGCGCCTTCGTGGCCTCGCTCGGCTGGTACGGCTTCTCCAGTGCCGCCGGCGGCTTCATCTTGCCGTTCCACAGCTGATGATGATCTACCACACCGGTGGTGCTCTTCGGCGAGAGTTGCTGCTGACTAGTAGCCGCTGCCGCTACCGCCGCAGCGAAATACGGGAAATGCGAGGCTACTACCGGCGACGTCCAAGGCGACACCACGGGTGGTCTGCCGAAGCTGGATGGCGTAATTCCTGGAACCGTCTCCTGATGGCTCGCGGAACTCGTCGTAGAGGTCAGTCTCGATGACTTGCGCGGCGGTGGCGGCGGTGAGTCCTCTGGTCCGGGTCGTTTCCTGCTCGGTACCGAGAGATCCAACGGGCCATTGTTCGTCTCCGTCGAAGAGGACGGTGTAGGCGGTTTACTGAGGTTCAATATCTGCTCTTCCTCGTCCTCCTCGGTGGAAGACGCTTTTCTCGTGCTGAAGTCCAGCACAGCTGGCAGAGGCGTCGCTGACGGCGAGATCTCCCCGACGCTGGTGGGCGACACCAAGAGACCGGGGGTCGCGGCCGGTGGTGAACACGAGGAGGAAACCAGCGGAGACACCGAGCCGCGCGATAAGGGTGAATGGCCGAGGAGGAGGCGCTGATGGGTCTGTTGTAGATACGCCGCCATGACCGCTGCAGAGTGGGGTGGTAGCAGGGAGTGAGTTCCAAGGGGTAGAGGCACGATACTACTTGGACTGACTGGGCTCGCGCTGCTCCTGGTAGCGGGTGGTAGAGGGCTTCCGGTCGCCGGACCGGACGATTCCCGAGAATCTCTCGAGGGACAGCGCGGACTCATTGGCTCCCTGAAATTACAAAGGACACCGGGCGCTGTAATCTCCGCGTCTCTTCTTCCGCGAGGGTCTCCCGCAGATTCTGAGACGCGCGGACGCGAGTTATCCGAGTTTGGTGGAAAGTGCGAAACGCCGAAGCGCGAAGGAGCTTGTGAGCCGGGACAGTGATCGTTAATCATGATAATCGTGCAATAATTTTCTTGTAACCGATCCGCGAGCGTCGACATAACGCAGGTGACGGCCGGTGACGTTAATATTTCATAACCATCCGCCACGGGAATTACTATGCAAACAGCTTTCGCCGTGCGCGCGGCGCGTATGATGGAAACGACGAATACCCGGAATCATTGGCGGCGGTGAGCGGAAGAAAAGGCTCGCGTGATAGATAGAGCCTGCGAACGTTGGCGTGTTGGCGCGATGGTAACGGTCGATGGATAATTCACGCTTGAGAAACGTCTGTCGCTGCGAGCGCACGCGCGCACGCACGTGAAACACGCACTATGCATGGAACGTACAACCCCGTGCAAATATACGCGACAGATGCACGCACAACAGACGAAACGCCGGACAGAATGTTACCGCCCATATCGACAACGAGAACGAAAACACACTTTGCGATAAATTATTTGTCGCGCGCGGCTCTGCGCGCGCTCTGTTCACACCGGTCCTCGTGCGAGCTTCTCCTTCTCTCTTTCCCCGAACAACGTCGCGAATGCTCGAATACGACGCGACGATAATGCGCGCGCGAGGTATAACGGGCCTCCGTCGTGACAAATTACGATTAATTATCCGCGACGGCGGCGGCGGCGGCGGCGGCAGCGGCGGCGGCGGCGGTGGTGACGGCGGCGGCGGCAAACGTTAGTCATCCGGCTCGTCGGCAAAAACGGTACGCGGCTCGTTCTCAAAGCCGCCGATGTACAGAAGCGATCGATACCTGTCGGAACGTCATCAACCGCGCGAGAAGATCGACTATCGAAAGGGAGCACGTGGCCGGAACGATTAGAGTCCCGACGCGGGGCTATTGTGCGGGCGGCTTGCTGCCTCTCCCCCTTCTCTCTTTCTCTCTCTCTCTCTCTCTCTCTCTCTCTCTCTCTCTCTCTCTCTCTCTCTCTCTCTCTCTCTCTCTCTCTCTCTCTCTCTCTCTCTCTCTCTCTCTCTCTCTCTCTCTCTCTCTCTCTCTCTCTCTCTCTCTCTCTCTCTCTCTCTCTCTCTCTCTCTCTCTCTCTCTCTCTCTCTCTCTCTCTCTCTCTCTCTCTCTCTCTCTCTCTCTCTCTCTCTCTCTCTCTCTCTCTCTCTCTCTCTCTCTCTCTCTCTCTCTCTCTCTCTCTCTCTCTCTCTCTCTCTCTCTCTCTCTCTCTCTCTCTCTCTCTCTCTCTCTCTCTCTCTCTCTCTCTCTCTCTCTCTCTCTCTCTCTCTCTCTCTCTCTCTCTCTCTCTCTCTCTGTCTATGTCTCTCTGTCTCTCGATGCGCGGCGTGGCACGGCACGGCGCGGCGCAGCGCAACGCAACGCAGCGGCGTTCCAGAACTGTCGACGGCTCGCTCGTAACTGACTGTCCTGACTGAATGCCGAATGCGTGCCGCGAGATGAAAGGGGCCGCTGCCACGCATGCAGGGGAAGTTTTTGGGGGCTGGCGGGACGGCGCGGCGCGGCGCGGGTGTAGAGAGGCGGGAGCCACCACCGCCACCCCTGGTTAGAGGAGTAGGCAGTACTGTGCTAGTGGGGTCGTTGGTGTTGGGCCGATGTGTAACACGTGCCTATCTCTATTAGCCGTGTGACGTCGCGCGCGGCAGCCACCGATATCAACTCTGACACCGGCTTATTTATCCCTCTCCGAGCCTCGTTCGCTCGCTCTCGCGCACCGCACTACCGCTTAACCCTACCGCCGACGCTTACCTCGAGCATACACGCATGCACGAGAGATGCCCGTGACGATTTGTTGCTCTCAAATAACGACAAGTCCCGTGTACACACGAGGGGCGCCCGACGACGGTGAACATCAAAGGTCGCGACGTCGCGTCGGCGCGCCTCGCGCGATCATTTAAGCTCTTTATTATAAAAAGCCTCCCCCGCGCGGATCAAGCACCGACTAATGAATCTCTCCGCCAGACGATATCGAGCGCAATATTTGAGCGCGCGCTTCCGACGCATCTGATTAGCGCATCTGACGACGACGACGACGACGAAGTCGCGAATTTTCAACGCCAATTTTTTTCCCACATTCTCTGCGGACCCGGTGCCCTTGTTTCAGGCGCGATGCTGTCTCCCTCAGCAATTAGAAATGGAGGGAAGGTGTCGCGGCAATTACGTTAAAATTGCATGCGGAATACAGTCGTACAGAGAGGAGAGATGCCGTAATCATAAAATTTACCTGTCCGGAGGGCCCGTGTCTCTTAGAATAGTTGGGTTTAATCTCGAAGTAGCGGAAGGCGGTGGCGTAGGTGGCGATGCCTCCTCGTCATCCTCTTCGTCCGTTCCCTCGGCATCTTCGTCTTCCTTCGCAGCGGGTGCGCAACCCCTCTCGCTAGGGCTAATGGGGCCATCCTCGTCGACACAATCGCCCTCCTCACCTTGGAGGTCCGTACCGGGCGCGGAGCCTTCGACGCCGTCCTCCCCTGGAAACAAATCGCCAAGCCAACGGATCAGTCGTTATCGATCGAACGCGCAACTATGATAGAAGAGACTACTACTCTGTTCATATCAACATGCACATTCCTTCTAACGAGGGCGTGCTGTCACGTGCTATTTGCGAGTCGTCATACATACATACAGTGGCAAGCAAATGAACATCAGGATGTGCATTGTAATAAAAAGAAAAAAAGAAATAAAATGAGATTTCGAACAAAGCGGACGATATCGGAATTTATTTGTTCACAAGAATCATTGATGCTAGAATCAGATGCTTCTGCTCTATCCGCCGTATCCTGATGGAAAAACGGAGAAGAACGTACGACCCAGGAGTGGAGATACTGAGAAATGACGAAGCTAAGTACCTAGGAGTGATATAAAGGTTTAGATGGCGAGTAACACAATGGCACTATCGGTTCATTTATCAGCCTTTCGCGACGGCAACGACGACGACGACAACGACGAAGACGAGGACGAATACGACGCCCAAGAGGGAAAGGAAGAAAGAGAAAACGCCAACGCTGCTGCGTCGGATACGTCGTCGTCTTCGTCGTTGTCGTCGTCGCCGTCGTCGTCGTCGTCGTCGTCGCCGCCGACGACGAGGTATTGTGTGGTGGAACGAGGAGTTCCGTCATCTGCATTATGAGTTTTAATCAAATCGTTTCCATTTGAACCCCTGGAAATGAACGACGGTATAGTCGTTGCGACTGCACGTCGGAGGACGCGACCCGACCTCAGATAGTCGACAGATATTCCGTGAGGGGTCGCGCGCCGCCCCATTTCTTTCCCTCGGAGAAATACCTCACACGCCGTATCGTCCAATTAACCTGAGGCTCGTTTAGCTCGCGGTTCAGCTATTATCACATGACACTCGAGCGAGCGACAAAAATAAGCTGGCCCGCACGTGAACACTCGGGGCAAACACGGAACCCTCCTGATCGCCATCTTGCTCTCGGCACATCCTCTTTGAAGAAGGGAGTGCCGTGTCCTCGGCGGCGAACAGGACGACGAGAGAGAAAGAGACAGGAAGAGAGAGGAGAGGAGAGAAGAGGGTGAAAAGATAAAGGGAGAAGAGAGAGAGAGAGAGAGAGAGAGAGAGAGAGAAATGGAAGGTGGCCAGCACACCTCCCCTCATAGAAGGTGGGGACAACCAGGAGCACCGTCCTACTTTGCCGAGTGACCAACCAAACGATCGTTTGTTCGCGGACAGGCCACGGAAGAGGGAGAGAAAGGAGATCGCACATTGATCCGCGGGAGCATCAGCAACTAATTACGCAGATTTATGTCCCCATTGTCCATTGTCTCTGTGCAGAGCGGCTCTCCGGGGCCCTCTCGCGCGGACCATTCGATGGAAGCGACTGGCTGGCCGATCCGGTTGGGACCAGCCGGAGGACCAGCCGTACGTGCACGGAGAAGAGAGAACGACGGGACGACGACGACGAGAGGAGATAAAAGGAGGACCCTCGGAGGATCGCTCGGGATCCAGGCGCGTATCGAAGAGGGGAATGCGAGAAGTCGAGGAACCGAGCGGGCGGACCACCGGCGGGCAGCCCCGCCCGCTACCAGCGTGGTCTGTCTTTTACCCTTTCGGCCCTCTCTTCGCTTGTCCAGCTATGTACGCGGGTCATTATCATCGAGTCCGCTGCGGATATATCGACGTTGTTGACTACAACACTTTACCTTCTGATGGGGCCGGTGCAATCGTGCGACGTCTCTCAGTATAAGTATAGTAGGGTATAAGTATAGGTATAGGTATAGTAAGGTATTCGGGGATTTATGAGTACGCTATTCATTTAGCGCAACTGTCTCACGGTTAAAGGAATTCATTCCAGAATTCTCAGTAGATAATTCTTTCCCTCTCTCTCTCTCCTTTTCTCTTGTTCTTCTGCCGTAGAAAATGTGGCATCTGTATGCACATTGGTCAACTCCACTTCTTCATTTTTATACGTGCCGTTGTCTCGTGTTTGCCAAACAGTCGAAATCCAGCACCGTCTCGAAATTTCAATCACGACCGTAGCTCCACGCCACCTCCGTCTCCAGTCAGAGACTTCAACGAGCGCTGCTTCGTTTCGTCGGGAGCAACGCATGGCGCCCTGATCCAATCTCTCATCGCGTATAGTGCGTTTATAGCAATTGCATTGTAAGACAGATCGGTCACAAGTAGTCGTCACGACTCTGCCTGAATGTTCGGAATGCGGAATATTCAGCAAGCTGAGAGATTTCATTTGCTACAATCTGCGCGCGGTCGCGAGGCGGTCAGCGATTGCCTATTATCAATACTCGCGCGGGACAGCTTCTTAGCGGGGTGTAATTCACCCATAACGCTAAAGGTCATCGCGGACTCCGCGGTTCGAAATATCCCGCCGATGATTGGGATCGATCGAATGCCGACATCGCACGCTCGGCAGAATGCAAATGCCCGCGGAGTTCGTGCGGGTCTATTGGCAGGCCGCTAACAAGAACTGCACCGGATTGCATATCCTGGACGTAGCCGCCGGTGAGATACGCCGGGAGCGAGGAGCGTAGCGTACCGAGCTTAAAAGCGGCCGGAGAGTCTTGACACTCGGCAAGATGCTACCGGCCGATATCTGCTCCTCCTGTCCTTGACTCACTCGGACCAGTGCACGTTAGAAAGAAGTGCGGTGTATTAGTGGCCGTGCAGAGCGCGCGCGCTATCTCCACGATGGTTCTGCGCCAATACCCGCCTACGACTTGGTCCACAACAATAATTAGTCTTATCGGCGAGCATCCGCTTTCTAGCCCGTTACGATCTGCCTGACTTTTCTCTCCCTCCCACCTTCCTCTTTCTTTCTCCCGCAGATGTGTTTGTCGCCGTTCTTTCTCTATCTCTCCCGCTCGCTGCTTTGTCGTGCCTCTTGGACGACCACCTTCACGACAAACCTGCGCACGAGCTCCGGATATAGATAGCAGACACCTGCATATATTGGCGTACACATGTTGGTAATGTAGCAATGGCTAACTGGTACTGGTACCACGACGGTATTGGCCATTCTGCCAGCTAGTCGTAGGCCTGAATAACCCGACCAGTCACGCTCGCTCCTCGTGTGGATGGTCGGCGGTTGCTAATTGCCGGTAAGTTCCAATCTTCTGTCTTAGCCGCGAGACTCCGAGAGAACGTCTCTTGTTCGGAAGATAACTACAATTTTAATTAACTGGATTCACATGGCGGGGGTCTTTTCGTCGGAGAAAAAGGGTCCGTTTTTCCTTCTCCTTTATTCTCCAGATTTCGCCCGAGTCTAAATTCTGATATTATTTCTGACCTCAATATTCCACATTTAACGCCTCTTTCGATTCCATTTAATTCTTGGTTCTACTAACTCTCCGTCGAAATATCCGTTTTAGAACTTGCAAGTTCTAAGAATTTCGTGCCATTTAAATGCGCTGAATAGGATTTTAACTTCCATGTGCGTTAAACATGCACTGATTTTTCAGATATCCTTCGGATGGTCCTTCAGGATATACGGGTGTTGAAAAGTTCCAACGTTCGAACGTAAAATTCCAACTCGGGTGATTGCTAATCTAAAGTACTTGTTCCGCGCATGTAACACCAGCAAACAAGGGTACCTCCGTGGATTGTTCAACATATCCTTTCCAAGCTATCTCTCCCAAAAACAATTTGTCACCGTTAGGTGACGCGCGGATGCGGGACGAGTCGCCGAGATGAAACGCGGCGAGCCTCACAAATGACAGAACGAAAAATAAAAAAATAAAGCGCCAAGACAAGGATTCTTTAGTGCATGTTCGTAAATTGCGGCCGTGAGTGAGACGTAAATTTTCACGTGCATAAGCACGTGTCAGTTTGTGTACTCTAGTGATTTACGCGCAATCAACGCGCTAAATCGGTTAGGTTTGCTTGTAATTAGCATGCACGCCGAAGGTTCGCCTAGCGAGCAAATTTATAACGCGGGAGAGGTGTCTGTTTAATTGTTCGTAAGCACCTGATCTGCATGGCGGCAACTCCAAAGGAGACATCACGAAGATAGCCGAGCATTCTTTGCGCAACCTGCTCTCGCACACTCGCGCGCGACTGGATACAATTAAATACGCAATTAAGAAAACACACATCGTCGCGATAACGGGACGTACATTGCGCGCGGCGTATACTGCGGTGCATTGTGTTTTAAAAGGGCGCCATCAGACGGAAGCGCTGTCATCAATTACCGGGAGCCAATTAATGCGAACTTTAATTACATAACACGAAACAAAATCGATCCGGGGGGGGGAGGGGGAAGAAGGGGGGAGATCTAAGCGAGGTGCGACGTTAGCGCGTTAAGGGGATTTCCTCGGAAAATGATTTCACATGTACACCCGGGGCGCGGTATCAGCCGCTCGCGATCAGCCGTGTGCGCGAACCATCGCACACAGACGCATCAGCATGCCTTGCGCTCTATTCCTCATTGTCGGACAGGCCGTCAGTGGGCACCGGTAATTACATAACCGCCGCGTTAGAATGTAGAGCTGCGTACTGTCAGAAAAGATGTGCGCGCCAGCGGACTGGCCAACTTCGCGGAGTACGAAGTTAATTTCTCGTCTCTTCCACGACGGGACGGCACGGGCGAGCAAAGTTGTCGGGACGCCTTCTGAGACGGATCTCTGATAAGTGGTACCACTCGGTTATCTTCGCGAATATATATCCCGGAGAAGCGCGGATCGTTCGGCGGCGCCGGGATTGCGCGCGCGAGAACGCGCGGCCCACCGGGGCGAGTAACCGGGTCGAACTTTAGCAACGTCCTGGCAATAAAACAGTACATAATAACAAGCCGGCGGCTGCGGCGGCAGAGAAGGAACAAAAGGAGAACCTGGAGGAGGACAGGAGAGGAGATGAATTTCTGATGCGAGAACCGTCGGAAGGCTGGCGGGGAGAGTGACAGGAGGCAGACGAAGAGACGAACGGATGGACAGGCAGACAGACGGACGAACGGACGGGCGGACAGAAGGACGAAGAGGGACGGCGAGAAGAGGGAGG